GTGTCGGTGTAATAGTGCCTTTCCTGCAACACCCTGCACAATTCTAGTGCGCCCTCCAGGACAACCAAATCTTGAGCGTCAAAGATTTTGGTATCAAGTTCGGGTGGCGCGTATGCAGTTTTGTGTGGCGCATCTGAGGGTGACAACGCGATAGCGTCATAATGAATGCCGGAATAGACTAATATACACCGTTCCGGCCTTCCTTCATTGAAGCGGTCGGTCCGTAAGGTCTGCACATCTACGCAGATTTTGGGGTCAGCGTTGCGTATTCGAGGCAGATATTGGAGTTGCGAGATAAGTTTCTGGAGCGCAAAGGTTTCTTTCGCTCCCGAAAGATGTCGTATTACTCAATCCAAATACCAAATAGGAAGGATCAGCTCGGAAATGTACGCACCGATGGACGAAATTTCGACATCAAAGTGCTTGCTCAGGATGTCTAGCTCAATGGCCCCACCCCATGCATCCTCAGTCTGGATCCACCTGCAATAGTCATCTGGCTGTTGATCCAGCACAACGGCGCTATACGTCTCTGGATTCACTTGAATACTCTGAGCGATTATAGAGCGCAATTCAGTCATGTTATCCATGGCGCCGAAGAAAGCGGTGTTGAAGGCACGAAAGAGGCAGGAATTATCATCGGGCATGATCCGAAGGACTAAAGTGGAAGCGTGCGAAGGGAGAGGCAGCTCTGGGGCGTCAAGGGAGGCGGAGGTGGGTTTGCGGGTGAGAGACAAGGGCTTGTTGGTTTTTTGAGTTGACGACGGAGGAGCAGTGCCTACATCTGCGAAGGAGAATGAGGACGGTGTGTCTGCGGAGGACGGGTTCAAAGCCTTGTCTGCGAATACTTGACTGGGGCTTGGATCCAAGGGTTTTGGTAGTCCATTGACAGAGGGAGCTTGTGTAGTCTCGCTGACAATTAGCTGTTCCCCATCCAGATTTATTCCGATATCTGACAGCTTCGCCGTCTTTGCGAATTCGCCGAGCGACAACGGCGTTGGTGGATAGCCATGTTTCAAATCAAACTTGGAGATTGATGTCCTTTCTGTAATTTGAGTCCTTAGATCTTCAACGGTCGCAGTTTCGGACAGTGATATCGCAGCTTGGCCCGCCGGTCCACGTATCCTGACCCTCATCCGTCTGGCAAAGTAGTATAAAAAGCGTTGGTAAGAGTTGGGGAATTCGTACGGAGATCTATCTGTATGGTCAACTCGCGCTTCCAGACGTACAATACTTTAACTCCGAGGGATCCGAGAATCGAAGCTCCAGCGCAGCGGCCCGCCAGGCCGCTTCAGCGTCTGTTCCGAAAGAATTTAGGGCAAAACTCCAAAAGTGAGCCTCCCGTGATAATGTCCGAGTGAAGCAGACCTGCAAGCAAAGAGACGTTCAGGACAGTCAACTTCGAAGTTGGCATCTATCGAGCGAATCTCTTTTTTGCAAAGCTGACAACAGACTGTAGGAAGTGCTTTTGCTTGCGAGAAACACAGTATCCGAGTCCAAGCAACCAAGTCAACCCATACCAAGTGTGGATATCAGGCCAAAGATATCCAAGCCTACAGAGTGCCTGCGACACCGAGACTCAATCGCAAAGACGCTCTGGCAGTCACGGTCTATAGCCGATCGCGACGACCATGGCAGGGTCCAATGATTCTCTTAGTAGCCAGACGCCCATAGAGACGACCGAGACCCCGGCGCATAGCAATCCAGAAGGCGGTGCTCTCACGACCGAGCAAGTACGGGCGATGAAGAACATCACTGAAAGAATCTATGCATATAGGGAACCAGAGTAAGGATTCTCACCTCGTATCCGTGACAGTCTTGACACCTCGCAGTGGCTACGACCCTTCGAAGCTGTTTCACCGCAAAGTCAATAAACGATCAATGCCAGACTACTACGATGTGATCAAGGAGCCTGTAGCCCTGAGTACGCTGAAGGCTAAACTTTTGACGAAAGAGTACAAAAGCTTCTCCGAATACGTTCGTGACTGCGCCCTAATTTCACACAACGCCCAGACGTACAACAGAGCTGAGTCGGGAGCATACCAGGATGCCGTGGTCCTCAGACGGGAATTTGAAAAAGAATTTAAAATTCTTGCTGACCAGGGTGTTATCTCACAAGAGGTGGCAACTTATCCTGACTTAGGGGAGCTGCCTCCTGTTGAGTCTCCTTTACCAGTCGACGAGGAGGAAGATGACGATGTGGACGACGAGGAAGACGATGAGGAAGACGAAGAAGACTCTGACGAGGATGGTCCAAAGCGAAAGCGAAAGCGTGGTCCTCGCTCTACGGCCGCCATCACGAAGCGCGAAGGGGGTAAGGACGATGGGGGACTGAAGGGCAACGATGCCGAGTCTAGGAAGAGGCGAGGTCGACCACCTCGTGTGGATACTCCGATGGAGTCTAGAATCAAGGCGGTCTTGAAAGCCATTCGCAAGTACAAGAACGAGCATGGAAACATCATCATCCATCAATTCGAGAAATTGCCGGACAAGGTCGCCATGCCGGAATACTACATAGAGATCAAAGAACCAATTGCAGTTGAGCAGATTAAGGTACGTAGGAAGGATATTGCCAAGATGCTGCCCAGGTAGCCCAACAGGGTGACAACTTCTAACATTGCACAGAGGAAACAAAAGCGGAAGAAGTACCAATCCGTTGATCATTTCATGCGCGATATCGATGTCATGTTCAACAACGCGAAGAGCTATAATCAAGACGAGAGCCAGATCTACAAAGACGCTGTGTATCTCCAGGTGTGTCTCTGTAACGCTAGTCAAGCACCATACATGCTGACAATTTGGTTAGACCGAAACACACAAGCTTGCAGATGCAGAGAAACAAAAACCAGACACAGAGTTCCAAATGGAAGAAGGTCGTTTGCCCTTACCAGGCGGCATCTTGCACAATGGCCAGCTATGGAAAGTTGGCGACTGGATTCACATACAGAATCCGAACGACGTGACAAAGCCGATCGTCGCCCAGATCTATCGTACTTGGCAAGATACTGACGGAGAAAAGTGGGTGAATGCATGCTGGTATTACCGGCCAGAACAAACTGTCCATCAGTATGAAAAGCACTTCTACCCCAACGAGGTGGTCAAGACAGGGCAGTACCGAGATCATCGTGTTGACGAGATTATCGATCGATGCTTTGTCATGTTCATCACGCGTTACAGCAAGGGTAGGCCACGAGGATCTTCAGCCGACAAAGATGTTTATGTGTGCGACTCAAGATACAATGAGGAGAAACACAAGTTGAACAAAATCAAGACCTGGGCTAGCTGCTTACCTGATGAGGTTCGAGACCAGGACTATCCTATGGATATGTTCGATGGGGGCGTCAAAAAAATCAAGAAAGTACCAAGTCCAATCTTGCATCTACTCAAGGAGGATGCAAAGGAGACAGACGAGTTACCCAAGCCAAGATGGGGAGCTGACAATGCTCCTCCTGCTGTAGGTGCGGTGTACAAAGGGCCGCGCGACGAAAACGTGAGTTTTAATAATACATTAACTTGAATCACTGCGGCCACTGACACGATTTGAAGCAATCTCCACCTCCAGAACCCACCCCATCACCTCCCCCACAACCAGCACCATCGGTAGCAAAACCTGTCAATAATTCAACGGCCTACGATACACCCAGCTATCCAAGAGATGGTCAGGGTGATGCTATCATGGGTGGCTATAACCAACCACCCGCAACATCTTTCAACCAACCTCAAGGCAACCTCGCCCAAGCCTACGGCTCATCTGTACCACAGTACCATCAACACTCGGCCTCCCCAGCTCCGGTCCATCATCCACATCAGTACACCCAGCAAGCCTCCAATTCCTATACGCAGCCTCATCCTGCGGCCGCGACCTCATCTCATCTTGACCATTATGCCACGCCAAATCGCTACGTCAACCAGCGCGTCGCTGGGCCCAGCATCCCTGCCCAGCGTCTCCCGGAGGTCGGCCACTTACCAGAAAACGCAAATCTAGCCATTCCCGAAGATACGCGCGATCAATTTCAACAGGATGACAATGGTCATGTGCTCTGGTTCACCTCGCCACCAGTGGATACGCTACCGCCCACAAAACCCCACTCGGCTATCGGGCACACCGCCAAATACCTGGCGGAAAAAATCCGTCTGAAAAAGGCCCTGAAGGAAAAGCGGAAGGCGGAAGGTCTCCCAGTAGGAGAGGAAGAGCAGCCGCAGCTCCTAGTGAAGAAGGCCAAACATGGCGTTGCTGGGGATTTGCAACAGCAGGTCAATGACTTGACCGTGAAGGCACTGTGGAAATGGAACGAACAGATGCAGGAAGGCACCGACAAGATCTATCAGACTCTCTACGGCCAGCATTGGGGTGAAGGCAAGAAGTATGAAATGGAGAAGCTAGCTAAGGTGCAAGCGGATGAGAAGAGGCGTCAGGCAGAGATTGCGAAGACTAAGCACAAGAGTAACTGCTGGGACGCAGCGAGAGCCTCATGCAGTGACACCGGGGTCTACAAAGACGACTGGGATCCGAGGTTTTGAGGAGAGTGTTCTTGAAGCCAGTATTTGAGCTTCTTTGGCCATATCTACTTCTTTTCTGGTGACAGCATCACCCGCCTTTCTGCCCAGAATGAGGATATTATTAGCAATGTTCCTTTTCTCATACCCTATCCATCTGGGGTCTGGCCAAAGGTGTTGGCCTGACTCCGAGGCATCTTGCAGACTTTCTGTCCAGAGCTACACTCCTGAACAGCGTTGATACCCAAAGTTGAACGCGAATGGAGATCTTTGGCCCTCGGTCATTATGGATAGAATTATATACCTTGATAGAAGTGCCGGCACGCTAATGTTGACGGACACAGCAATGAGGAAAGCGCAGTAACAAAATAACGTCCCGTGCTTCAGTTGCTGACCTTCTCATCAAATCCACTGACCAGTGTCGAAAAGTACCATAACACTAAGGTAAGGTAGCCTTTGATCCCGCAGCCTCTAGCGCCAATTGCCCTTCTCTTACATCATATGCGCTACGCTTTGCCTCTTCCGGCCTTCCCTTTCTCTTCAACTTGTCCTAAGCCCGCAAACAGTCCCTCTCTCCTTCTCGCCAATCCTTCCAGCTCCCTCCTCAGTCTCTCTACCTCTAGCAATGCCATCTCTCTGTCTGGCGGTAGCCCTTCGAATCCTCTCACGCGGCCTTCTAGACCCCGAACCCTCTTCTCCAAATCTCGCACCTCGCGCTCATCAACGTGTGTAGGCAGAGGAGGCAGAATCGGTAACCCCAACCTCGCTTTTCTATACTCCTCTGCCATTTTCTTCTCCTTCTCAGTGAGTGACTTAGACTGGTGGTGTTGACAGCAACACATGCTTTCCTGCCCAGAGTGAGCCCCATTCACTGCTGCTGGCTTCGGTCTCTGCTGGCCGCCTGTTGCTTGGGTTTGCACAGACTGCGGTGGTGCCTGTGAGTGTAGCGCTTGTGCTTGTATCTCTTCTCCGCGTCTTAGCTTAGCGAGAAATTCTTGAGCACGTGCATGTTCGGTCTTCAATTGCTGGTGCAAGATCTCAACCCGCTGGAGCTGGGCAGTGAATTCGGGGGCGGATGAGGGAGTGAGAGGGAAAGCCATAGGGCTCATTGGATTGGCTAAGGCCGTTAGGCGATGAGAGATGTGGGGTTCTTATGGGGGTATGACGTTCAACGAGGCTCTAACGGGCTTCAGAAGAGGATGAATAAAGATGCCAACTGGTTGAGGCGGTGCCTATGGAGAGGAGTGTCGCCGGTGCAACAAGGCAATCGTCACGTCGCACGAAGCTTTGATAGCACGCAGAAGGCAATGTCAACGGCAAGTGGAGCACGTCCAACAATGTACGTGAGCAGTCTCAAGACGAGATGAAGGAGGACGCTTGTGAGTGGATGATAATTTGAGTGGTCGTGGTGTAGTATAGTAGAGATAATGAATGGCAAAAGATGTCAGCTTGTAGGCTACTCGTATCCTGAGCTCCGCAGCCTTGCGGATGATTGCTTGGGAAAAACGAGGAATGTGGAGAAGGGGAAAATTGGCCGAGCGGGATGAAAGGCTTGGCGCAGGCGGCAGGCGGCAGGCGCTCGTATCTTCCGAGTCAAGTAAAGTACTGAGTAAGGTGAGTATGGGAATAATGCCACTTGGCTTTCCAATTCTTCCATTGTTCAAATAAGTATCGTCTTCTTTTTCTGAGCACCCTCTTCGATGACAGGATACTCCTTAACTTTTCACAATGATTACACGATTATCATTCTTGGCTCTGGGAGCTGTTCTCTTGTCCTCGCCCCTTATTGATTGCATATCCCCTTCAGAGATACCCTCGGATACCCCCGTCGCCTCCCTCGTCTCCTCCGCTAAATCCCACCTCGCCCAAGGCAATGCAAATGACGCGCTTACATACTTCGACGTTGCTATCTCGCGAGATCCTCGGAATTACCTCACAATCTTCCAGCGTGGTGCCACGTACCTTTCATTAGGAAAGAACGATAAAGCAAGTCAGGACTTTGACAAGGTACTGAGCATCAAACCTGACTTTGAAGGAGCGCTATTACAGAGGGCCAAGATCAAAAGTCGGAACGCGGACTGGGTGGCAGCAAAGGAGGACTATGTGAGGGCAAAGAAAACAAAAAGCGCAGACTTCACACAGCTCGAGGAAGCATGGGGAGCCGCATCACTGGCGTCGGATGCGGAAAAGGCTGGTGACTGGGAGAGTTGTGTTGGCCACGCCGGTACAGCAATAATGGTCGCAAGCACCGCTTTGAATTTGAGGCAATTGAGGGCACGGTGTCGGTTTGAGAGGGGCGAAGCGCTGGAAGGGGTCAGCGATCTGGCACATGCACTGCAGATATCGCCTTCGGCCATCGAACCTCATATGCAGATATCGACGATGATGTTCTACTCAGTGGCGGACACAGACAAAGGCATTGAGCAGATGAGGAAGTGTTTGAGATCGGATCCGGATTCGAAGGCTTGCAGTAAGCTCTTTAGGCGGGAGAAGCAGCTCGACAAGGTCTTGAAGCAAGCCTCCGCATTGAAGGAGAAGCGCCAATTCAACAGCGCTGTGAAGCTTCTGGTGGGGACAGCTGAGGATCCAGGGCTGATGCAAGATGTGAAAGAGGACGTCAAGGGGTTTAAGGAGGCTGGCTACATTAACAAGAACTCTCCGAATGAGCTCTACAGCAGTCTGGTTGAGATGGCCTGTGAATGCTACACAGAAGTACGGATCTTTATTCCAAAAGTTGTTCGATATCTGTACTAACACATCCCAGATCAACAAGAAGAAAGCTGCTCCCTACTGTACCGAAGCTCTCACGTTGAACGTCCACTCGCTCCCCGGTCTCATCGCTCAAGCACAAAGCCAAGTTGATGCGGAAGACTTCGAAGCCGCCATTGGCACCCTCAATCTCGCAAAAGAACACCACCCTGCTGCCCAAGATATACAGCCTCTCCTGCAAAAGGCCCACACTCTGCTCAAACGCAGCAAGACAAAAGACTACTACAAAGTCCTAAGCGTCTCTACGGACGCTGACGACCGCACAATCAAAAAGGCCTATCGGACAATGACGAAGAAGTACCACCCCGACAAGGCAAGCTCCCTGGGCGTAACGGAAGAGCAGGCGGCGAAGAAGATGGCGAATATCAATGAGGCTTATGAAGTGCTTAGCGATCCGGAGTTGAGGGCGAGGTTTGACAGGGGTGACGATCCTAATAATCCGGAACAGCAAGGGCAACCATTTCATGGAAGTCCGTTCGGGCAAGGGCCCGGGGGTCAACAATTCTTTTTCAAGCAGGGTGGTGGAGGAGGTGGAGGGTTCAAGTTTCAGGGTGGAGGAGGCGGAGGAGGATTCCAATTTCCTGATGGATTTGGCTTTTGAACGGAAAGCATTGAGTGCATACATTGCTTGGAGTCTCAAGCGCTCGAATAGAGCTGAGAAGAATCATAGTCGCTTTTGTAGCATGAAATCATAGGGAGTACTCGTATTGTCTCTATTGTTGATTTTCCACCACGCCAAGTAATGCTTTCCAATGGTTGTTGTCTCGAAAGCACTATTCCCCACCCAAGAGTTCCATCACCTTTTTTTCTTTTGTTTAAAAGGATCAAATACTTAGTTCACCAACAATCAACGTCCATAAAGAAAAGCAAAAAAAATACAATTAATTGCTACGACACCTGCAGGGTTCGAACCTGCGCTCACGAATGAAACAGATGTCGAAAATCATATCTGAGAAGATAAAATTCAAGTCTGTCGCCTTAACCACTCGGCCAAAGTGTCCTGGAGAGTAAATTGTCAACTATTTGCACCTATTTTGGCAATGGATCAAGATCGAAAGCCAGCTGTGATTCATCCGTTCGCTAGACACATGGACATTTAATGCTACCAGAGAACAATACAGAAGACGTGCGGTTCCCATGACTCATTTTTGCCTCTTGCCTGAGACTCCACACGCTATGCCAACATTATCCCCAGACCCAAACCCTCATGCTTTACCAGAACAACATGCGAAACGCTGAAGCAATTATCCTGTGAAAGCAAAACGTCCGAGGTCCAGTCTTGACTTCGCCCGCTCTTCTACCTCGGATGCGGTCCCACCTTCGTCTTCTGAATCCGGGATGATGGCGTCCTCACTGCCTTTCGTGATGGAAGCGTCAGGTCCGATGCTGTAAGCTAACGGCAACCCGATAATAGGTTTTGTCACAACTGCGCTATCTTGGATCGACGCGCTTTCCTCAACCCTTCCTGGGCAATTTACAGTACTGTTGAAGAGGCTGCTGCAGGATCTTGATCGATTCATGGCACCCAAGCCAAGCCGTTCCAGAGGTGTCGTATTCCGCTGCCTAAACATTGGAGGCTTCGATATCGCTTGGCTTGCACTGACCGCCGCCGGATGTTCCTTTGTGTTCTCCATCTGACTTCTTTGTAATGCCATCCGTCCTGTCTCCGGCCGATAGGTATACTCCTGAGTCAAGGCCTTCAATTCGGCGCTGACATGTTTGTCCAAAGTTGCAGCAACAGATGGCGCGGAGCTTTTGAAGCTTGTCGCGGATGTACTGGAAAACATCCCTGACTCTACTGTTCCTCTGGAGGACGTTGAACGTTGCGAATCCTCTCTCGATATCTCTTCATCCCGCGTTCCCGGGCGGCGAGGGTCCTCTGCCTTCTCCTGACTATCATTTTTGAATATTTCCATCCTTCCTTGTCTCGATGGCTGTGGACATTCGGACACATCTGGCAAATCGGCCATTACATCCTCGATGGAGTCGTCTGACCAAATGGTTATATCTGCGCTCTTTCCTTTTCGATTCTTCTTGCTTTTCTTTATTGATGGGCTAGGATCCGTGATATTGGGTGCGAAGAATCGGCTTCGTCCGGACTCTGATGCCACTACATTCACCGGATCCAGGCTATCACTCGGGTCAATGCAAAGCCTTCGTCGCTTTGAGGGAGTGAGCCCAGTAAGAGAAGCTCCTACGTTGGTCACAGTCTCTGTAACTCTGTTTGCCAAAGCAGATCGAGGTCCAGAAGGCACTGAAGCACTCGGCCTGAGAGATGGCACCCCGGCCGGTGCTGAAATCGACTCCCACGTCAATCCATTGGCTTGCCGCAGAAGTCTTTCCTGTGTTGGCGAGGGCGTAAAGCTGTTGGGGTCCAATTCTGCCAGTGGCGTTCTTTTTGGCTTGAAAAATGAATCTATCGATTTGACGGCTTTCGTATCTGGACCTTTGTCGACCGTACTCCTACGTGGATTACCCCATTGGTTTTTGGGGGTGGTCTTGACTGTTTCCTTGACACGAATGGGTTGTTTGGTCATCGGGTCAAGGTCCCCCTTCGCGACTCCAATGGCAATTTCTTGCTCTACCTCGCCACCAATGAACGAGAAGTCTCCAGGCTGTGCGTCGGCCTGAAGATCGTTCATCATCACAACGTCTCTTTTCAATGGGCAAAAGACACGTTGGTGGAGGAATGTCAGCTCGGCCTTGTAGAAAGCTTCGAGGTACCCTGGGGGTACATGATATTGTCCGTCGAATGACAACATTCGGAGAATCTTCTCTATCGTCTTGTGCTTTCGCACAAGCCGGTAAGCAGACTTCAAGCCCATTCTGTTTATGCGAGCCAGATAATCACATCCACTGAGAATGGCCATGCGTCTGAACTCAGCGTCTGACCACCCAACCAGGCTAATTTCTCGACAAGCCGTAAAGTCGGCCCGATTGATCTCGATACAGTCACCATACTGGTCAAGTTTTGTCAAAAGCCGTTTGGCGCCAAATACCAGTAGATCCGAATCCTCAGACAGCATACCCTGTATGATTCCTTGCCGCTCGAGGTAAGCCAGCTGAGCATCTGCTTCGTAAGGCGCAACAACATATTGAACGCCAGCTTTCTTGAGCTCTTCTATCAACTGTATTGCCATCTGCGGGGTAACATCGACTGCCTTTTGGAGCTCAAGGTGCGCTTGGGAGGGTTTGTTGAGCCGGTATAACTCGAGTCCCTTTCTCTTACTCGCTTCACGCTTCTTTGCCCTTTCAATTTCTGTGGCTGCTTTACTGGGCAGGTAGTCACCATCGAAAACTATGTACGGAATCACACCGAAGTGGATCAGCATTCGTACTCGGTGCATGGAAAAGTCGATATGCCTAGACCAGGGTCAGCTACGGAAGGATATCTCAGGATGGTCGAGTATACTTGGTTGTCGGCTTGCCCAGGGCGAGATCAATGGCGCAGGCCACCGTCCCTCGGTGTAGCCAGCCATATGCATCAACTCCAATGGTCTGGCCGGCGAATTTCTTCAGATTGCAAGGCTTTTGGATGGATTTCAGGAGTGGGAGCAAGCCTTAGAAAGGTCAGAACTGTACGGTATATCATTGAGCTCCCAAACATACCAGAGATCCCCATTTTCATAGCAAAAGCACGAGCAATAAAGTTAGCAACGTCCCCACCTCCTCGTGTTTACCTGATCCATGAAGGGGACCAGATATGTATGCTTCCTGGGAACTGTAGCCAATTCGAGAGCCACGATCGTTAAAATAGCATTTTGTAAAGGAAAAAAGTCTATCAAACACGGATTACTGCTTTCGTGGTCAACAGTCAACACTGATTTTCCTCGAGGTTCGAATCAGAGAGCGCTAAGGGCGCGTCGCGCTTCTAGTACATAGCGTTCTGTGAGCGGAGATACCTTTCGCCGAAGGCCCTGCGAATAATTTTCCATTTTTCAAGCACACCAGAATCAAAGGAAGAGACTTGTCATGGTCAAGATGCCGAAAAGTTTGGCCAAGGTGCAGAAGAAAGTCGCCAAGAAGAAGGGGAGCTCTACCAGTTTGCACGAAAATAGCAGAGATGCTCAAAAACTAAGGAGGGCAGGCGCCAGATCTGAGAAGCTGTACGCTATACTTTCTGAAGCAATCCTTCCCCATTCATGCTGTCTTGTGGGTCGTCAGACATGTCTCAAATAGTTCTCTGCTTCTAAGACGTGTCACGCGACTCAGAATTCCAACGCTGACTCCAAAATCCTCCAGGGATAAGCTCGCAGCAGCGAGAGCGAAGGCAAACCAACCTCATTGTCCAGGAACCCTTTCCAGATGAATATGCGATGCGAGATGCTGATTCCGCCAAGTGAAAAGAGTGGCCTACTTCCAGGGAGCAGCAAGAGCAGCTACCGCACCCCTAGAGGCGGAGAAACTCCATGGCCTCGTTAAGGGGTTTTTCTACATATCTCTAGCTTGGGGTTTCTCGCTGATGAATACCAGATTTCTTGGTCGTCACGACGAAGAGCTTGCAGAAATTAAGAGCCAGCGAAGACCCGGCCGACCTTCCAGTACTCGAGAAGACCTACTGTACGTATCTTAGGAGTCCGTGTTCCCTCTTTTGAACCAAATGCTGAGTCTTGAGACATGTCTTGCGAGTGTTCACTCTCTCGACGTGTTCCAAGGCTCACTATACCCCCCTCCAAGCAAGCGTTACTGACCCTGAGATCATAATCCAGACAGCAGTTCATGATGACGGAGGACCAAGAATATAATGGAGGATTTTGGATTCCAGACATGCAAGATGAGGGGAATCTTAGGATACTGCGCGAATGGAACGGACAGTATACTGCACTAAATACGTTCAAGTATGTTAGGCTGTCGAGAAACGGCACAATGCGAAAATCAAGCTTCCCTCCGAAGGGCCTTTCCTGACACAATATGATCATCTGGTCCAACAATAGTGGCCCAAGTGTATCCTCACTCAACGTTCATTCGATTGATGGTAATGGGGGATCATCGGAAGCACAGATCTTGTTCTTATCTCGCATGAGTTCAACATACACAAGCTGTACTGAAGCCTCAATGCTATGACATGGCGTCCTACTCTATCCCATCACTTCTTTCCAGCAGCAGTCTCATCGAAAACATACGTGAGATGGCACTTGCCACAATATTGGCGGTTATGCATAGCAGCCATGAAGACACCAGCTCCGCACTGTCAATCTCGTCAGCTTCGAAACCCCAACACCTGAATCCCACAGGATTTACCTCAGCGGTCGGACATTCTCTCCTCAGACGCTCGATTTTGCCATCCCCATCCACCTTGTAGAACTTGAGCACAGCCAACTTGGTCTTCTTGCGCTTGTGCTTGATCTTCTTGGGAGTGGTGTACACCTTCTTCTTGCGCTTCTTGGCACCACCACGTAGACGTAGGACGAGATGGAGAGTCGACTCTTTTTGGATGTTGTAGTCGGATAGGGTGCGACCGTCCTCGAGCTGCTTGCCGGCGAAGATCAGGCGCTGTTGGTCAGGAGGGATGCCTTCTTTGTCTTTGGAAAAAATTAGCGAGGATGGAGGTGATACAACACTAGAGACTTGAGCGCACCTTGGATTTTCGCCTTGACATTATCGATGGTGTCGGACGATTCAACCTCGAGGGTGATGGTCTTACCCGTAAGGGTCTTGACGAAAATCTGCATGATGGCCTGTGATATTCGTCAGATAGTATGCGAAGCAGGTACAACGAGAACCCGAGAGATCATGCGCAAGCTCACCTCGACAGAATTGTCGTCCTCAACCTTCAGCAGAGATGCTCGATAAAAGAGAAGATGGTTGAAACCCAGCGAAACTGTGTGGGTTCGCTAGGCGGATAAGGCTGCGCTAGCTTACCTTGAGAGCGCCAAGATAAAGACCAGCCACCTGTCCCTTTTGTAGTTAGCGTTCAACGTCAGATTTGCGCCCTGACAACCGGCTCGGCCTCTTTTTGGTAAACAGTTGCTCGACTTGCAGCAACCTACTCCCAAATTCCTTCTCACTCCACAAGCTGGCTTGCTCTACATCTACAAATCAAAAAACACATCATAATTGATCTCAAAGATACCAAATCTACTATTCGAGAAGAAAACTCCGACAACACACCAGGAGCATCCGTCACAGCACCTGCCAAAGAGTAATTCTTCGGAAAAATCCCCCATCTAATCTCCAACTGCGATAATACATACCGGCATTCGTCTGGGTAAAACTCAAAGCAAACGAGTCCAGCCCGGCCGACCGGCTTGCGCTGCACGAGGTACGCAGTCGAAAACCTGAGTTAGGTGGCATGGCGGTGGCATGGCCAGCGCTGACACAAGATTGACAGTCTCGAACCACGAAGGACAACTATTGCGCTCTTCGACAACAGCCCTTTTCGAACTCATCTTGCATCTTCATGCTGTCTCATCAGACTTCGAATCTTCTCCCAGGACGACACCAACGACAAAATTCGACGCCCACGGTATTCAACACTCCAAAGACCCTTCTTCCTGCAACACAACGACAACATGAGCCACATCGACGAGGTCTAAGCATAGATCAGTCAATGTCTAGCACCCAAATACACGACGAACTTTTCCAGCAGGATGAATTATTGACCGAGGATGAATATCATAACCGACAGCAACTAATCCAAGCACTAATGCGAGAAGTGCAGCAGCAGCACTCAACGGCTCGACCGGGCCATGAACAATCGGAAACACTAACGCGATCAATCCATCGACATCAGTCTCTAACGAACATCCAGCAGGCGCCATGTCAGGAACATGGTACTGGATTCTTTATGGATGGCCAACCAAATACCCCAATGACAGCTTGGGAGAACAGCAGCGGTCAACCACACTCGCTACAGGACGCATACAACAGTAATACTATGGACATGTTTCAATCTTTCGACTCGACCACCTCCGCTGGATACCTCGACGGCTTCGGAACAGGACACGACGAATATACAGAAAACATCCTACCTAATGAAACAACGAAAACAAAAGGTATGCCACACGGCCTGCCATCCCAAGAAGACTCGCAGAGACCTACCGCTAGAGATGGAACTCAGCGACCGTGCACACCTCTAAGTCAAATGAGAACGGGTCAGTGACAATTCTGACCATGGGTCGCGACAGCGAATGTTAACATTCATGCAGATTACTTTCCAATAACTCCGGCCACAACTCCGTTCTCACAGAATGCGCACACTAACAAGGCTCTGCAGAGTCGTACTGCAGAATCTTCCCCTACTCGAAGAGACCCAAATTTGACCATCAAAGCCTCTCATGCGATGCAACGCGGAACTTCTTGTCAAGACAACTTCGCTGCGATGAGGCAACATGCTATGAGCCCTGATGTTCCATCTCCTCCCAACACGGCACCGCCGCAAGGACGGCAGCGAGGCTCGGTCGACCTGGCAGCTTTCCCTCAGCCGAACTTCATGAACATGTCGAATTTGAAAATGGACATCCCTGGCAGCATTGGTGGGTACAATGCTTCGAACTATTCACCCATGTCCAACGCTGTTTCATCCGCCGTTACATCATTCCAATCTTCACCAGAGATGGCGCACATGACATTGTTCGAAGACATCAATGTTGGTGTCAATGGCCCACTCGTTGCGACCAAGCTATCAGGGCTGCCTAGTTCACAAAGTGCGGATGACCTTGCGGTCTATCCTTCTCCCATGAAAGAGGATCCATATCCAAGGTCCCATTCGATGTCAGAGAATGACACAGAAGATTGGATTGACACGGGTGTAACCTGTGATGATATCGCCTCGTTCATTGGATTACCAGAGGACGACAACAGATGGAAATGCTTGTACCCGCATTGCGACAAGAAGTTTGGCAGGAAGGAGAACATCAAGTCTCACGTGCAAACCCATCTTGGCGACCGCCAATTTCAATGCAAGGATTGCCTCAAGTGCTTTGTTCGCCAGCACGACCTAAAGCGGCACGCCAACATCCACAGCGGTGTTAAGTCATATTCGTGTCCTTGTGGCAAGGGGTTCGCACGACACGATGCCCTTACTCGACACCGACAGCGTGGCATGTGTATCGGTGCATTTGATGGTACGCCGAAGAAAGTCATCAAGCGAGGGAGGCCTAAGAAGCCGAGACCCGATACTGAGGAGAGACTCGAGAAGTCGGCAAAGACTCGTCAGAGAGTGCTTGAAAAGAGATGCCTTGGAGAGTATGCTTCCTCGGCGTCTGGCTCATCAGCCTCCTCATACCCTAGCCCAGAGCAACTCTTCGACGACATGGACTTTACCACATCGAGTCCGTCTCATGGTCATGAGTCTTTGCAACAGATCTCGGGCGACATTCCGGGAGACTTCTGTGGAGACCTCTTTTCATACACTCCACCCACTTCGCCAAGCTACAGCACTGGAAACTGCTTTTCGTCGCAGCATTCCCAGCATTCGCACACCCCAAAGGCCGTCAGCATGAGCCCTTCGCCAAAGCTTGCTGGAACTTCCGAAGAGCAACATGAGTTTCCGAAGAGCAACTCCGGATCCCGGAAGAGTTCCACAAGCTATTTCGGCACTCCTCCGGAGCTGGACCTCTCTTCATCATCACCAGCAGCGTCCAAATTCTTCGACTTTGAAGGCAGCTCTGACGCCAACTC